TGAGGAATTTTCTAAATAAAGGATGATAAAAAGAGGGGTCTCTTGACATTTTTTCATGAATATGAGGTATACCTGCCAGCTTTTGAAAACTATAAATAGGGACAGTTGGAGAGAAAATAAATGCTTCTCTTAATTCCACTGGAACACTCTGGGCATTTAGCCAGATTCTCTGCTGAAATAAATGGCATTGCATGGGGCACAAGACAGAGAAGAATTTGCCTGAAGAAAATTTTGGGGAGGCACAAAGATGGAAAATGATAGAGATTTAGCTAGAAAAATAGGTTGTGTGCTTCCTATATATACAGTTTTGGCATGTATACATGATATGGGTGGAGACAAGGATGGGAAAATATGCACAGATGAGAGATACATTTCAATATACAAAAAAAAAAAAAAAAGAAGTTACCTGTTTACCTTGAAACTAAGATTTTCTTTTTCTTTTTCTTTTGCTTGCTGATTAACATGTTATATAGGGAAGAATGATTAAAATGATGACTGGCCTCTAAGTCAAAAGATTTCAGTGAGATCAAACTTAATAGTCTGTGTACCTGAAGCATATAGTATAATGCCATAGCACTGGAACAGTCAACAGTCTGTTATTGAAAAGAATTTTTGCATTAAATAGAGGGGTGAGAGATGACTATATTTAAGTTTCTGTACACAGAGGGTGGTCTTTGAAAGCCAGGATTGATATTTTAATGGTTCACTGCAGAGAAATCCTATTGCGCCCACCTGCGCTGTGTGTAATTTGTGGGGGAAGAAAACCTTTACTTTTGTTCTTCTTGATCTCTTCTTATCCCTTACAAACAATGGGGAAGAAAAGAGAACAATGTTAAAAGGACTCATTAAATACTGTGAGCCTGGGCTCAGTACTACACACTCCAATTAAAATCTGTGGGAGTTTTGGAGCTCTGCACCACAGAAGAGCAGGCACCATGTGGATACATGGAATAGGCCGAATCCCAAATAAAAGTAAGTAGTAATCATATATTGGACCCAGGTTTAAAGGGAATTGAGTGGTTTCTACTTCCCTGATTTTCAGTTTGAGCATAAGACAGCCAGGCCCTCAATTTAAAAAAATGTTCATTATTTCATATGCCCTTCTTTAGATACTATGGACTTGAGTTTTAGATATGCAAACATCCAAATTCAGAGGTATCAACTTTTTGGGGGGAAAAATGAAATCTTATATAGTGGAAAATTGGGCATCCTAAATATGGACCTTGTTACCATCTCTCTGTAAAATTTAATTTTTCTTAAGCCATTTATGATCTCATAATACTGGATCCAAGTTTCTCAAATTTTTGTTCAGTTAGGATAGAGAAGGGTCCAGGGGGGCTATTCCTAGATGCAAGCATAGACCCCAGCAGCTCATTCCACTCAGTCCCCTGTCCCAGCAAACGTACTGAGCCCTAGACCTCCTGCAGTGCTGTAGTGTGGATGGCTTGGAAATGAGGCTGTACTGAGGATGCACAATATGAGGGGTTTAGAGTTTTGTATTTCAGAGCATGTTTTTAACTTTTTCCTTTTAAAAACCCTATATACAAAACAGTTATTGTAAAAGGATGTTAAAAGATAGCAGCCACAAAAATCCTTGCCTGTAGCATATTGTAAAATGATGTTATTTAGGTTACTAAGGCAAGCACCTTAAATATAGGGACTGCCATAATGGTAGTGCTGCCCCCTGATATATGTGCATTATGAAAAAAAAATGGGGAGATGGCCGTAGGCAGACAAGGTTCTTTGGGTAGATGTGATATCTTTTATTAGACCAATGAAATAGGGAAATTGTTCTTTGCAAACTTTTGGGCACAAACACCCTTCTTCAGGGAGAATAGGGAGAAACTTCTGGCGCTCACGCACTTTTTTTCCAGCCCCCCGCCCCCCCACCACATGCTGTGCAAAGTACATCTGAGGGCTATGTCCTGCATTCCTTCATGACCAATCCTCCCACTGCAATTCTCTACCCACAAATAATGGTAAATCATGGTCTCTGTTTTTTCCTGCTTCTCCACTGTTAATTGTCTTATATTAATTTTAGTAGAGAAACTATTAACTAAAAAGAATTAAAAAATGTATGAATGGTTGTGAATAGAGTACAGTTTGAAAAGCTTCTGGCTTACACAGCTGCTGCTTATGTGACTATCGAGGATTTGATAGGAAAAAGTTTCCATGGGAATTGTAAAGCATTGTTCATAGCTGACTTCAGCTTTCATTGTTGTACTCTGATTGTGGCTTTTGTTTCACTACGAAGTACGATTATTAAATGCTGGCCTAGAACAAAGATGTATTTACATGATGGGACTGAGTTAAAATTAATTATATTTTTAGAGATGTCACTGCTTTAAGCTTTGAAAAAGCTTTTCATTTTTACTACTTGGAAAAACATTCAATATTTCAGCAGAAATTTAAGTCCTTAGAAAAAGAGTTGATCATTAAAACTAGTTAAAAATCATTACTGTTGGCCGTTCAGACCACTGATGTCAAGTGGCTTCCAAAGGCTTTGAGGTAATGTCAGATGGGACTTAAGCCTCCCAGAGGGAAACATAAAAAGAGTGTCTCTGTATTTTCACTTGTTTGAGCTGATCATTCCTTAATTACTGACCCCTCCCTATACATCTGAGAAATGAAAGCTCCTCAATCAGTGACATTAAAAAACTTCATGTTTGTTGTCAATGCAAAAAAATAGCACTGCCATTATTAAAATAAAATATATTTGTATGGATGTTTATACTATGTCCTACTTTACAGCTGCCCATTTGGAACCAGTTTTGAAGCAACAAAAGCCAGTGTGGCCCATAAAGGCATCTGGGTTGGCAGACATGGAGTCTACTTACCAGATTAGAACCAAAACTTTCATACAATGCACTCCATATTTTTGTTGAATTTGTTTCATTTTGCAGAAAATGGTAAATTATGGTTTTGTAAAATGGGATCACTAAATCCTG